GTATCGTTCAATATTCTGCCCACAGAATCCTTCAATATTGCAACTCGAAGACTGAACTTTTTCTTCAGTTCTCTGAGCTTGAGAAATGTCAAGCATATTCTTCTCTTTTGCTTTTCTACCTCCAGGTATTTGCACATTTCATTATAATATTTTACTCTGTCTTCTCGAGCCACTCTTTGAAATCTTCTGTTCAGCTCTTTTATTTCATCCCTTCACTCACTTTAACTACTATCTCTTCAAGTACAAGTTTCAGAGTCTCTTCTGATTTCCATTTTGGTCTTTTCTTTCTTTCCTGTCTTTTCAATTATCTTTTGCTTTCTTCATATGAGATGTCCTTGATATCATCCCACAATTTGTCTTGTCTTTGGTCATTGGTATTCAATGTGTCAAATCTATTCTTGAGGCAGGATATAATCAAAGTCATATTTTATCTATAGTGGTATTGAATGAACTCTTATATACTGTTAAGTGACAAAACAAAATTATACAACAGTATATATACATCTAAGAAGCCACAGTGGCATGGAGTTAAGTGCTTGGCTGAGAACCAAAAGGCTGGCAGTTCAAATCCACCAGCTAATCTGAGAGAGAAAGATGTGCATTGGTTTTCTGTTGTTTGTTTAATATGCACACATGTTTCTATTTAAAAAGTTGCTGCCATTGTTAGATGCCATTGAGTCAGCTCCCTCTCATAGCAACCCTATGTAAAACAGAATGAAACACTGCTGCTGGTCCTGTGACATCTTCATAATTATTGCTATGTTGGAGCCCAGTGTTGCAAATACTGTGTCAATTTATCTCATTGATGGTCTTCTTTTTCACCGACCCTCTACTTGATCAAGCATTATGTCCTTCTCTGTGGACTGGTTCCTTCTGATAACTTGTCCAAAGTTTGGGAGACAAAGTCTCACCATCTTAGCTTCCAAGGAACATTCTAGCTGTATATCTTCCAAGACAGATTTGTTCGTTCTTCTGGTGGTCCATGGTATATTAAATACTCTTTGCCAACACCATAACTCAAATAGATCAATTCTTCTTCAGTCTTCCTTATCCACTGTATTTTAAAAGGGAGGCTATATACTAGGTTTAACCATATGAAATTGCATTTTTGAGGGTTAAAACTGTCAAATATTACACAGGCATGATTCTGTCTATATGATTATGTGCTTGTATACGCACAGACAGGTAAGAAGATAACACTAGGGAGCACTGGAATCTGAGATGAGAAACAGTTATTTGTTATTTTCTAGCTTTTTGTACTATTTTAATTTTCTTACCACATACATATATTCTTTCTTGTATTTTAAAAAAAAAGTTAAGTTTTAAAAAAATGAACACTAAAGTAGCTTTAATATGTGAATAGATAAGAAGCAAAGCACATTTTACCTCCCTAGGTTGCTGTTCTGGCTCCCTAGTGCCGCTCTGACAAGAAATTACCACAAACGGGATGGCCTTAACAAATAGAAGTTTATTCTACAATTTGGAGGCTTTAAGTCCAAAGTTCAAAATGCCAGGCTCTCGGGGCTGGGTGAAAGCCCCTCAACCTTGGGGTCCAGCTCTGCCTCCTGCTTCCGACCCACTGGAGCTAGAGGCATTTCTTCACTCAGACAGCCCTGGCTGCTGCGGCTGAGAAGCCCCAAGGTTGACAAGTAAAAAGGCACAGTCCTGATGTTACCAAACCACACGGCAGGCAATTAACTTAAGTCCATTTTAAGTCCCAAGGTCGGCAGAACATGGCAGGCTGCTGAGCAACGACACGGCTACATGCAGGGTCCAAGCAAGCCATAAGCTAGAGACCATTCCCAAGGCTTCTGCTTAAATACAGGAAGCAGACCACATTCCCTAAGGCAGTTACCCAGCTGCTTGTGGTAGATCTCACCATGGAGTTGATTGCCAGTCTCCTCATGGGGATTAACTACCACCAGCTGCCCAGCCACTCAACCAGGCCCAGCCAAGTTGACACACAAACCGAACTACCACAGTTGCTATAATTTTTTTCTGTTCTTCCACTGATATTAAGAATGCTCTGCATGTGGGATACTGCCTGGCTACCACTACTGAACATTTTGATCAAAGATTCCATAGAGAAATCCTGATTAAAAGGGGGGAAATGCAAAGCAGAATTTCAAATTCCCACAGATTCCAGACTTCCTGGAACCATGAAGACTGTATGAACCCTTGAAACTACTGCCCTGATACAATCTTTAAACCTGAAACCAAAAGTAGCCCCTGAAGTCTCCTTCAAACCGAACAACAGTTTAACTTAACTAGTAGAAAAGGTCTGCCTTGAGCATTATGCCCTTTTAAGAACTATCTCTATGGGATCAAAGCATATAGCAAACTGAAAGACTAGATAGGAACCTTAGAGGGCAATGAGTTTACGTCAGTAGCGGAGGAACAACTCAGAAAAGGAAGGTGAGAATGACTGCACAATTCAAAAAACGTCATCAATGTCACTAAACAGTACACGCAGAAACTGTTGAATTGTCATGTTTTGATGTATATATTCTCAACAAGGACCAAATAAAAATAAAACAAAAAGGAACACATCTGATAGGAGCCCTGGTGGCACAGTGGTTAAGCCCTTGGCTGCTAACTGCACGGTCAGCAGTTCAAATCCACAAGCTGCTCCCCATGAAAAAGATGTGGCCATCTGTTTCTGTAAAGATTATAGCCATGGAAATCTTACGGGGCAGTTCTACTCTATTATGGAAGGAGCCCTAGCGGTGCAGTGATTAAGTGCTTGGCTGCAAACCAAAAGGTTGGGGGTTCAAATCCACAGGCTGCTCCCCAGGAGAAAGATGTGACAGAAGATGTGACAGTCTGCTCCTGTAAAGATTACAGCTTTGGAAACCTTATGGAGGCAGTTTTACCCTATCCTATAGGGTTGCTGGGAGCTCTGCTGGCATAGTGCCTAAGGTACTTGACTGCTAACCAGAAGGCTGGCGGTTCAAACCCACCAGCCACTCCTCGGAAGGAAGGTTGGGCAATCCTACTTCCGTAGTGATACTGCCTCGGAAACCCAAGGAGAGGTCCCTGTGAGTCGGGTCCGACTCAACGGCACATAACAACAACAATAGCGTTGCTATGAGTTGTAATCGATTTGACGGCAACAGGTTTGGTTTGGACTTAATCTGCTAGCTACATAAAGGAAGGTGAAATTCTGAAGTTCTATGGTCACACTGGTGATTGACAGAGATATGTGATCAATGTGCCTCCTGAAAGTATTGTCTTTTCCTTTCTGTAACGGTTTTAGAGGCTGTTCTTAAGTAAAAACTTCAAATTTCAAGATTTATTTCCTAGTCTGAAATGTAGGGCCACCCCATCTGGATGTGATGTCCTACTCAGTTAACTGGTAGTCAGTAGACCGCAACCTCAAATTTTCAAAACTAAAGTAAAACGCAATCTCTCGCCAATGGAATTCTAAGTGTAAGACTGAAATGCCAACTGATTTTTTAATTATCTGGTAACCCAAACCAAACCAAACTCACTGCCATTGAGTCGGATCCAACTCACAGCAACCCCTCCCTTGGGTTTCCGAGGTGGTATCTGGTCATCTAACTAAAACCTTGAAAGATATTATTTCCCTTTAATAACAGCTTCCCTCTTAAGTAGAGCATTGTGAATGAAAAACCCAAACCCAGGTACTTTTGAGTCAATACCCCTCACAGTGACCCCATGTTTGAAAGCATAACCGCGTCCAGGGAGGTGCTCGGGGTTGGGATCCTTCAGCAGCAGACTGCCAAGCCTGTCTCCCAGGCACCTCTGGACAGATTCAAATCTCCAACCCTGAGGTTGGCAGCCCAGCACTTAACCGTGCCACCCAGGGACTCCTGAACGAAAACACAAAAACCAAGAAAACCAAACTCACTGCCGTCGGGTCAAATCCGACTCACAGTGATCCCTCCTTGGGTTTCGAGGTGGTATCTCTACGGAAGTAGATTGCCCAGAACGAAAACATAATTGTTGGTAATTCTGAAAGACCAAGGTACAGGTAGATACCACGGAGGAGTCTAGTTTTTTTCCCTACAACTGATTTCTTCTCATCCTATCATCTGTTCCTTCTATAAACTTCAGAACTTCTGATCTATACCACACGTTACTATTTCACTTGCACTACTTTATCGTTTCATGACTATTACCCTCATCTTCCCTATCATATTTTAAAGGCTCTGTCCACATAGTTGAAAGAGAAAGCGATAGTTTTGTACAGTCAACATTCCCTATTCAAAATCAGCTAACCTGTGAGGAAAAAAAGACAGTTGCCAACAAGGAACTTATAAGCACAACACTTCACTTCCAAGGGATTCCCTGATCCTCCAAATTACCATGTCCAAAACAGTTTTAACTACCAAGTAACAACATTTACTTGATGCTAAAATACTTTTAGGAGTATTTTTTCAGTATGCTAAAAGAAAAAAAAAAAATACTAACCAAAAGGTCATTAATTGGTTCTTAATTAAGTAATTATTTGAGACTTAATTTCAAATGGTCTGGCCATTGGAACATCTTCATACAAATACTCTAGTAAATTAACATTAACATTATTACTGCAAGTTAATGTTTCATCAGAGAGCCAATGATAATCTCACAGTAATGACAGCAGCTAGCATTCACCGAGCGTTAAGTACGAGCCAGGAGTATTCCTAGAGTGCTTCAGCGGCATCCACTCATATAATCCCAATAAAACCCTAGAAGAGTAATATCTGCATTTTACAGATGAGGAAATAAGGCACAGTTAAGTACTTCAAGCTATACAGCTTCTCTACACCAAACCAGCAATAAAATCTATCCTTAGAGGCATATTTAACACGGAATTTTTACCACCACAAAATAATTCTATAAAAAGAAAGGCGTGTGAATGTCAATTATTCCTTAAGTGAATAAAGAAAAGATGGTGCACCATCCTTTTAAAATATTTATATACCAATGTTCATTATGGGAAAATACTGCAGGAAAAACATTTTATACGGAAGTCTATGTGTTAATACGTGGTTTACCTGGCAAAAACTTCAAAGTTTGCAGCATCTGTCTTTCCTGAGAGAAATCCACCATTAAGTGAGTCATGTTGTCACTGACTTTTGGTTTCAAAGAAAGGCGAAAGGCTGATGCCATTGTGACTCTATGGTGAACACAAACATATTTTTTTAAATGAAAGAAGTATCAAATCATTTTATAATTATAAAATGAAAGACAGAAATTGTTTCACTCCAATGACTTGGGGAAGTATAACAAAATAATAAAGTCAAATAGAAATTTGCTCTTAAGAGTCTTTAAAAAATTAACTGAACAAAAAACTACAAAATGTTTTTTAATTTGAAAACAACTTTTATCCATTTTCCTCCTGCGAGTTTTATAAAATTGTATATATATGCAAATATAGTGAGTTCAGATATGCAGTAGAAACAAATCTTTTAATAGATCCCACATTCACCTGAACCTCTGCACCCTCAGTCTCCCTGACTTCCTGATGCCAGCCTCACTCCTCTTCATATGTATGCCAAATAATGAATGGGCCATACACCTGATTCAAACATTCTCTCTCCTGACATAGCTACCTGCACACCCTCCAATGAGTGTAGAGGGACACTGACCAACAGTGCATAGCCTAGTACCTGACAGACCACAAACGTGCAAGGAGAGAAGTGAAATCATGACTGGTGAATACCATGCCAGCAGGTGTCACTCTGATGTGTCAGCATCAGCTACACAGGATACTATAAGCAACAGTCCCGTGAAACTCTATGCCATGAAAATCATGGGCGTTCAGTCAACAGTGATGGATAAACACAGAGAGAAAAACAAACAAAGAAGTCACACCACATCTCATTTCACCCAGAGTACGGGGAAATTGTCTGCCAACAAGAACTGAGAATTAAAAGAAATCATCAGAGGTTACGTTATCTCAGATTTTGATTTTTCATATTCCAGCAAATTTCTGAAAATATCATAAAGTAATTTTATTATCTTTGATCAAAAAATGATATAAAACTACTATTCATGACTGTTGTCCTGCTAGCACATAATCTGGGAAAGGGAGTAAGGTGAGCAGGAGAGACACAGGGTACACCAGGCCTCGTCAAGCAGATTTGTGGAACTGACCCTACAGACCAGCAAGAAGAAGGATGTCAACTGTGCCTGTGTTCAGTTATTTTATTTCATCTTAAAGCTAGAGAAGTCAACACTTCATTTAATAGTAAAAATGAATAAAGAGCAGATGATCTGCTCATCAAGAAAGGGCTATACTGAAATATATTGTATAAAGACTCATTCTTACTGAGCACCTACTACTTGCCAAGCATGATGCTTAGTATTTCACACATATTACTTTAAGCTATTAATTCTCAAATAATAAAATGTCAGACCATACCATACCAACAAGAAGTTACCAATGAAAGTTAAGCCTTCCATACACTGTCCTCTAAAGTCCCAATTATCTTGTGATTGACATCTTCTAGAAGAACCTTACTCAGAGGTGGTCCTTAAGAAATGCTCACTGGGTCAGTAAAAGGGCTCAAGGCTACTTGATTTCTTCTAAACCTGACCAACTACTTAAATAGCTATTGAGAACTCTTGAGATAAAATATGAGAAAGTATTTCAGGGAATTTTAAATCTGAAATGTGGAAAACTTTAATCAGTATGACACCACAGAAAAAAGAATGTTCCCCAAAAGTGCACTAGAAATGGTCATCACAGCCTAAAAGAGAAGAATTATGACTCTTATTTTCTACCCATGAAAATGTCAAAATCCCTAGGAATTAAGT